GAGTGTCCTACAAGAGTGTCCCGCAAGAGTGTCCCACAAGAGTGTCCCATAAGAGCGCCCCACAAGAGTTTCTCACAAGAGTGTCTCACAAGAGTGTCCCTTAAGAGTGCCCTACAAGAGTATCCCACAAGAGTTTCCTGCAAGAGTGTCCCACAAGAGTGTCCTACAAGAGTGTCCCACAAGAGTGTTCCAGAAGATTGTCCGACAAGAGTGTCCCAGAAGAGTGTCCCAGAAGAGTGTCCTTCAAGAGTGTCCCACAAGATTGTCCCACAAACGTGTCCTACAAGAGTGTCCTATGAGAGTGTCCCACAAGAGTGACCCGCAAGAGTGTCCCATAAGAGTATCCCACAAGAGTGTCCTACAAGAGTGCCCCATGTCCCACAAGAGTTTCCTACAAGACTGTCACACAAGAGTGTCCCACAAGAGTGTCCTACCAGAGTATCCCACAAGAGTGTCCCACAAGAGTGTCCTACAAGAGTGTCCCACAAGAGTTTCCTACAAGAGTGTCTCACAAGAGTGTCCCACAAGAGTGTCCTACAAGAGTATCCCACAAGAGTGTCCCGCAAGAGTGTCCTACAAGAGTGTCCCACAAGAGTGTCCCACAAGAGTATCCCACAAGAGTTTGCTACAAGAGTGTCCCACAAGAGTGTCCTACAAGAGTGTCGTGTAAGAGTGACCCACAAGAGTGTCCTACAAGAGTGTCTCACAAGAGATTGTCCCATAAGAGTGCCCGACAAGAGTGTCCTACAAGAGTGTCCTACAAGATTGTCGTGTAAGAGTGACCCACAAGAGTGTCCTACAAGAGTGTCTCACAAGAGAGTGTCCCATAAGACTGCCCGACAAGAGTGTCCTACAAGAGTGTCCCACGAGAGTGTCCTACAAGAGTGTCCCACAAGAGTGTCCTACAAGAGTGCCTTTCAGGAGTGTCCCACAAGAGTGTCCTGTAAGAGTGTCCCACAAGAGTGTCCTACAAGAGTGACCCACAAGAGTATCCTACAAGAGTGTCCCAGAAGAGCGTCCCACAAGAGTGTCGTACAAGAGTGTCATTTGGAGATATGTAGCTTTTCGAACGCGTTTGCATATCTTGTTCTTTCTTCTCTTCTCTCCCTACCCCTCCCTCCTGTCGGGACCTTAGAGTGAGACGCTACTAGGGGCTCCTGGCCTTACCACTTACTTGGTGCATGGACTACTTGGCCTCCCCTGAGAGGCGTGTGTGCGTGTGCCCCTTGAAGTCACAGGGATCCCATCGGATTGTCAACTTTATTGTTTATTTTCCCGAATGCGTAGCGAAGGGTTCTCGTTTAACTCTTGGGGGTCTGGGGGTTGCTTCTATGTTCGCAACCGTTCGCAACCGTCCGCAGTAGGACGCTAAGGCGCTGCCATTGGGGGAAGCTTTTGCAAGTGACTTTTCATGGATGTGTCACGTGTCAGTTTGCGCCGCTATTCCATTGTGATTTGCATGAAAATGAGATGCGGCGCAAGAAACGTGATGCATTTCGCTGCACAGGCGCAGCGTTTTGTGAGATCCGCAGTTTGCTGCGCAGTTCCATTGGGATTAGCGTTTGGAGAGTCGTGTTTTTGGGGTGTTGGATGTGGCCGTGCCATTGGGATTTGCGTTTCAGGGTGTGGCATCGAAGCTCTGTTTTCGTGACAAGTCTCAGCTGAAATGCCGATTTTGGTGGATGGGAGTGTGCTCAGAACGGGTCGAAATCATTCCAAACGTGTGGTGTGGTGCAAATTTTGTTGAAGCTCACATGAGATGACATTGTTACTTTTCGTGGCAGGCGCAGGACTTTGTGCGGGTTTTGAGGTGTGGAAGTGGGATTTTCGTGGCAGGCGCAGGGAATCGTGAGGTTGCGATGTGTGACGGAGGTGACATTTCGTGGCAGGCGCAGTACTCTCTGTGCGCGTTAGACGTGTGGACGCGGAAAGATTCGTGGCAGGTGCAGGGAATCGGGAGGTTGTGGGCTGCGGTAGAGGTGAATGTTGCTGTCACATTGGGATTGGCGTGTGAGCGGGTGTCGTTTGGAGGGGCTGGAATCGCGAAACTGCTTGGCAGGGCTGCGGCTCCGATGGGTGTTTCCGCTGGACTTTTGGAGGAAGTCTCGTGCGAAACGCTCGTTTTGGAGACTTGACGTGTGACTTTTAGAGGAAGTCTCCTACGAAACGCTCGTTTTTGAGACTTGACGCGTGACTTTTGGAGGAAGTCTCGTACGAAACGCTCGTCTTGCAGCCTCGCAGCGTGACTTTTGGAGGAAGTCTCGTACGAAGAGTGTGCCCTACAGGAGTGTCCCACAAGAGTGTCCTAGAAGAGTGTCCCACAAGAGTGTCCCACAAGAGTCTCCCACAAGAGTGTCTGACAAGAGTTAAGAGTGTCCCACAAGAGTGTCCTATAAGAGTGTCCCACAAGAGTGTCCCACAAGACTGCCCCACAAGAGTGTCCCACAAGAGTGTCCTACAAGAGTGTCCCACAAGAGTGTCCTACAAGAGTATCCCACAAGGGTTTCCTACAAGAGTGTCCTATAAGAGTGTCCCGCAACAGTGTCCCGCAAGAGTGTCTCACAAGAGTGTCCCTTAAGAGTGTCCCACACGAGTGTCCCACAAGAGTGTCCCGCAAGAGTGTCCCAAATGAGTGTCCCACAGGAGTGTCCCACAAGAGTGTCCCGCAACAGTGTCCCGCAAGAGCGTCTCACAAGAGTGTCCCTTAAGAGTGTCCCACAAGAATGTCCTACAAGAGTGTCCCACAAGAGTTTCCTACAAGAGTGCCCCACAAGAGTGTCCCACAAGAGTGTCCCACAAGAGTGTCCTACGAGAGTGTCCCACAAGAGTTTCCTACTAGAGTGTCCCACAAGAGTGTCCCACAAGAGTGTCCCACAAGAGTGTCCCACAAGAGTGTCCCGTAAGAGTGTCCCACAAGAGTGTCCCACAAGAGTGCCCCGTAAGAGTGCCCCACAAGAGTTTCCTACAAGAGTGACCCACAAGAGTGTCCCACAAGAGTGTCCCACAGGAGTGTCCTACAAGAGTGTCCCACAAGAGTTTCCTACTAGAGTGTCCCACAAGAGTGTCCCACAAGAGTGTCCCGTAAGAGTGTCTGACAAGAGTTTCCTACAAGAGTGACCCACAAGAGTGTCCCACAAGAGTGTCCTACAAGAGTGTCATTTGGACATATGTAGCTTTTTGAACGTGTTTGCGTTCGGGTTCGTGGGCTCCATCTTGTTCTTTGTTTTTTTTTACCAGGGGGCCCATGGACACTTGGATGGCGTGGGCCAATGAAGACCCATCCAAGATGTGGTGAAAACGTACCTGCTTGGCGCACCTGGGCGCATTGTAAGACGCAGCTGGCGGCCACCTTTCTTCCTCTTCTTTTGGTAAAGTGCTAATGCGCCTGCAGTCATGCACGGACCATCGTCACTTTGTCGCGTTTCCGCAGTTCGAGCTCGGGGGCTTCGGAGGTTCCTTGGGAGGTTTTTCAGTTACCACCCAACCTGAACCCTTAGGCGTTGAAACCTAGGTGGGCATGTAGCGTGCGGCATTCGAGTCAGTACGCATTTCTATAGGTGTGTGGTTGCGATGAAGGGGAAGCCAAACGTACAGGGACAAACAGTGAACCGTACCTCATTGTCAAGACATGGGCGACCTGAAACCTGGGCTAAGTAGTTGCGCGCGTACGCGCTAAGGGCCAGACCGATGTACGCAAGAGAAAGAACGGAGTGAGATGACGGGACATGAAGCCGGGAAAGATATGAAACAAAAGAAGGAAAGAAAGAGTGTGTGTGTGTATGAAGGGGAAGGATGAAAAGGGGACCAGATCGACGGGCCGGAAAGAAGCTAGACTTCATGAAAGGGACCTAGGTGCCAGGTTTGGGTTTTTTGCGCTGTGTGTACACTCTAAGGCTCCAACAGGTCCCAATGCGTGGAGCTTGACAAGCTTTGGGTCGCTGTGGCCTGCCCAAGGGCTGCCTACTCTAGTCCGCTGCGGACACGTTCCGGCGTGCCCCAGGGCTGCCTACTTGAATGCAAGCAAAAAATTTGGGCGTAAGCCTACTCTGTCCGCTCCGGACACGTACGTTCCCAGGCAAGGGGAACAGAGACAAACCCCCGTTCGACGGGGCCACAGGGGACAGTCCTCGGGTAAGCCCGGGGCTCTCTCACTATAAGGAGAGACACTTGTGAAACGTACGGACTTGACTGCGGTTTGCCACACACCAGCCTAAGTGAAAAACCAACGGAACCTAGATGAGTATAGGTAAAGCGGTCTGACCGACCATGAGACCTTAAAGAAAAATTTCACCCAAATCCATCAAACTCGAAGAAGTCGAAAAGCGGACGAGGATGACGGCGACCGCGCGCATCTGCAGAGCTTGTTAGCGCTTTACAGTGCCTGAAGAACTAGAAGCAGCCTGAGCAATGGGAGTCGTTGTGTTCAAAGCAGGTACGTCGGTGAGCGTCCCCACCGATATCAACCAGCCCCCTTGCTGTAACAAAGAAAGAAGGAACCACTTCAAAGGAAGCCCTATATGTTTCCAAGGGGTTCATGCACACACTTTCATTTTTCAAAGGAGAATATTTATATATTTGGTTTTCAAGAAGTAGTTTTTCCTTGTTTTGTTTTCTCTCGTTTTGTTTGCGCGATCTCCCTTTCGGCCAGGTCCAGACGTTCAAGATTCTGGGCGCCATGGCCGGGCGCGAAACGAAAAAGGAGAACAAAGGAGCGGTGTGTTTTCGAAACGAAAAGGTTCAGAAAGTTAGACAAACTGAAACAAAAGGAAAAACATGAAACAACGTTACGTTGATATCAGGTTACAAGAAGAGACAAAGTGACATCAACAAAACAAACATGAAATGCATTCAGTCGCAAACGATGTGTTGCAAATGCGCACGGTTGTTCCAAGAAGAGTTGTGCGTGTGTCTTGCTCATGAATGTGTTTCAAGCGCGGACATTGTGTTTGAACCAACGTCGAGTTTTTTTTTAAGGTAGGTTGCTTCAAAGTCTTGAAGCCTTAAACATAAGAAAGGGTTCGGGCGCCAATGTGTTCCTTATTGTAAGGACTCACATTTTGCTAGGGGTTTCAGGCCTCTATTTTGCTTGCGTGCTCATTCTCCAAGAACTGAATACCTTCAGCGGCCAAATCGCAACAGTTGCAAGGTTGTTTTGTGCTTGTGTTGTCTTTGTGTGTATGGTCTTTGTTTGATCATTCCTTCTCACGCTTGATCCGTTCTGCTTACTACGATGTCGGCGGGTGTGCGCAGGTCAACACATCCATGCTTCTATTGTCCTGTTTGTCTTTCACCCTAGCCAGGGCCCTGGTCACCAAAAGAACCAACTTCATCTGTCACCAAACTCACACTGTCCTTTTGATTTGTTTCTTTCATTGTTTGCTTTCTATTCTCATGTCGACGAGGTCACGGTCTTTGGGACGATGATGTCCGAGCAATACGCCATGGACCGCAGAAGTTTGGAGGAAGCGATGCTTGGAAAAGACGGTGGAACAAAAAGAAAAGATTGGACAAATTGAAAAGACTTGGTTTCATTCTATGGAGGAAGTGATGCTTCCAGTGTCGCGCACGTGCTCCATCATCATCATCTCAGCCTACGTGGCGTGCGCCGAGACGAGTCGAGGGTTCAAACCATTCATTTGCAAAGGGAAAGGAATATGAGTAATGTTAACATGTCATCTATGAGCCGTGCATCAATAATAATCTGCCGGCCAGAAATTTGCAATACTTTTTTCGAATTCCAGACCCAAAATGGTTGAACAAATTCTAATCTATCGATTGTAAACCGCACCAATAATAGTCTGCATGCTTTTTGGCCTGCCAGAAATTTGCGATATCATGTTTTTTAAAGTTTGTGCGTCAGAATGCTTTCAGACTACGACTACTACTACTTTCACTGTACTACTACTACTACCACCACCACTACTACTACTACTATCACTACTACTACTGCTACTACGACTCCTACTACTACAACCCAACACAGGTCAAGCGGATGTATAGCTCACCGTTGCCCAAAGGACTTATAGATCGTCTATACGTCCTTTCCCAAGCCATGCGAGATCAGGCCACTCCATTCCCCACGATTTCCTTGCTCGCGCCGGTCTTTTCACTAAATCTGACTACTTGGTTCCTGGCCCCATGGATGTTTTAACAGCCATTCATGGCTGCGAGCGCGCTTTGCGACCTACCGTCCTGATTTATTGTTTTGCCCAGAGCACCAACTCATGGAAGTGTTGAAGCTTGCCAGCTTCGTGAAAACTTGCCTGACTCCGGCGGCCAACGTCATCTCTGGTTGAGTAACATGGTGGGTAGGCCAAAGGCTTTAAGCAAAATCGGCAACAAGGAGCAACATTCTCATAGGCAATGCTTCTTCAACTGTCTTTTCGCAAAGCGGCTTCATTCATGTGGTGGGCAAAAACCATCAATGGTGCCAGATATGTCAACCGGACAGGCGTATAGGCGCCCGCGTGCAATCTTAATGAAAGCTTCGGCCCCACATCCTTTCGTGGCATCGCAAAGAGACAGGTCTCTGAAACAATTTCGGAATAGTTTTCTCGCTCAACATAAAGAATATGGATTTTGCAAGAGATTCTGCCCGCCACAATCAAATAGAAAACACCGATTAAGAACATATGACGAAATTTCTTGGGCGCGCAACTGACCGAAATTGCCGCAAAAGGGGAAAATAGTTGCAAAATTTGCAAAGTTGAGAGAGAACTTCACGAAGATCCACGAAATTTCTGACAACATTCACATTGACAAATTTTCATGAAAATCCACGAAATGTCATGAAAATTCGCGAAGTTTCACGAAATTTCATGAAAATTCACGAGTTTCACAAAATTTCACGAAAATTCACCAAATTTCACGAAATTTCCCGAAAATTCACCAAATTTCACGAAAGTTCATGACATTTCGTGAAATTTCATGAAAATTCACGAAATTTCATGAAAATTCAGCAAATTTCACGAAAATTCACCAAATTTCACGAATAATTCACGATAATTCACGAAATTTGACGAAATTTCATGAAATTTCACGAAAAATAGCAGCCTGAAATTCCGTGAAATTTCGTGAATTTACATCTATAGATCGTCTATAAGGCCTGAAAACGTGAAATTTCGTGAAATTCATGACGGATGATTTTTTTGTGGCGTGATGCATTCTGAGGCAGCTTGCGGCTTGAATCGAAGGAAAAAAATCAAAGAGCGATCAATATTTCAAGGCATGGCCCACAAAACAAAACGTGCTAGTATGGATGGTGATGCCCTATACTGCGCACGCTAGAAACTTCATTTTCTTGTCACCAAATGAAGGATCAGGGAACTGCTGACCATTATGCCCCCCTAAGCAAGGAATTGAAATATTTAGATTTACGCGCGAAAGCAGTCAGGCTGCCCTGCTTTTGTTGCCTTCTTGTTGGCCAGCACTATGCTGCTGGCGTGGCTTTCCGCGTTGTTCTTGCTGGTCAAAGAACGTTTCAAGCTTTAGTAGAATTATGATCGCTCTGCGTGTAGCCCCCGCACCCAATTCTGAGCCTGTTGCATTTATGAAGCCACCAGCCTCCCATGTCTAATCTCTCTCGTTGCCACACCTTTTTAGTTTCCACATTTTACATCTCCACACGCTAAGCTGTGCAATTTGTAGCCCTGCAAGTCAGCGACAATATAACAAGCTCCTTATCCTTCGAAATTCTGGAAGCTCACACCCAGTTGCTTGCGTTTCTTCCCAGCTTCCAAGCTGCGATGGCTGGGCGCAAGTCCTCCTAAACTGCAATCCTGACCTGCGTGCTATGAGCTTGCTTGGAAAATGCCTTTCAGTCAGCCCCGTTGAAAGGGTTTCTGCTCAAAAGGTTTTGGTCCACAACTGATCCATGAAACGCTTGCGCCCTCCTCTTGGTCCTGAGCGTTTGCTTTGCTCTCCCCAACCTTCTTGAAAGACAGTGCAGGGAGCGAAAGCTTTGGCGACCCTGCCAGATTTAGGTCAGGTATTTGCCTGGCACAAGCCGTCACCCGTGGCAACCTCAAGCCGAAACCTGATAAAGTCTGCAAGAAAATCAACAAAGTAATACTTGTCACCATACCCTGAGGATCCGATCTCAGAAATCAATATCATGTTCAGTATAATATTGATAATGATTTTGATCAATATTGATCAATATTGATTGAAAATATTGATTGTGATATTGATCGATATTGATCCCTTGCCTTGGGCTTTTCCTCTGTTGGGCGCATGCTATGCAAGTCAAGAATGGGTGAAACAAACTGCTTTCTTTCAAGCATGCTCCTGCAAGGCTCTCTGGCACCTTTGGCTTTCTTTCAAGCCATCACACCATGTTATTGATCCTGAGCTGCAGGGCCATGGTGTATTTGGTGATGAAAGATTCACTGAGCCTGGCAGCTCTGGTGCCATGTGAGCAGCTGTGGCCCAAAGTGGCTATGTATCCCATGAAGGATTCTTGCTTGTAAGTCCAACAAGTAGCTGGGTTTTGGAATTGTGTCATCAAAGCAATGTGCGCTACAAAATGGCACTTTGGAGTCAAGGTGAACCTGACCTCATCAGCAAAATGGCTGTGCAACCAAATGTATTGCAGCATGCTTTCTTTCAAGCACTGGCTTGCCTTCACACTGTCTTTCATGAAAAGATCGTCCTCTGCAATGAAAGAATAGAATTTTGCCATCTGGTGGCAGCATTCAGCCATGTGGGCATGAGCCTCACACTCATTGGCTTTCTTCCAAGCCACCAATGCCAAAGCAGGTGCCAAATGCCTGATCTCACCTGCATGGCCTTTGAGTTTGGCTGGTTGGGACCATGGTTTTTCATGGTTGGTAAACATGGAAACCACTAGGTTGTTGAACTTCTCTTTGATGCCAAGATCTTTGTACGCTTCTTTAAGCAAGGCCCAGATCTCGGCTGTATTTTTTGACCCGTCCTGTTTCTTGGCACCAGGTGGAAAAGCCCAAGCGTGGAGGACAGACCCTGCCATCCTGGCTGTCACTCCCAAGTCCAAGGTGTGCAGCACATCCAAGCACACCCTGTATTCAGGCAAGCCACCAGGGATTGTGAAAAGAGTGTGCTTGGTACAGGGGCTTTCTTTCAAGCCTTCAAAAGGGTTTTTGCTAGGGTCCTTCTTGTTACAATCGCACAGCCAGCAAAATTTGTGAGAGCTCCAATGGGGAAACCCCAAATGGTTTGCATAATATTCAAGATCCCCCAAGAAATTCCACACCCAAAAGCAAAGCTTTTGTGGTGTAATTGGCTTTCCTGCAAGCCTTTGTAATGCTGGAGGCGAAGCATTGCCTTTCCAATTCACTGCTGGATGCAAGCCATGGAAAAGTGCTGTGAAGCTCCATGCTATGACCTCATGGATTTCACCTGCAAGCCAAACAAAGACGGTGTCAACTTGGGATAGCTTTCAAAAAGCTGCCAGACCAAGAGGTGTGGCGCAACTATGTGACACATAGCCTTTGTCTTTGGGCTCTCTTCTTTGGAGTCTAGAGCTGGCACCTCAATGGACAAAGTCGGGCTTTCTTTCAAGCCTCCATATTTTGACTTCTTTAATTTGTTTTTCAACAATCTGAGGATGTCTCGGTGGCAGTTATTTGGGTGGGCACCAAAGCTACCTAAACCGCTCAGCTCTACAAGCTCTTTGTTTTGCAGCCCATCTGCAGCTGCTGAAGAAGCAAGCTCCTGAAGCCCTGAGCTACTCAGCTTCCCTAAGGACCAAAGCTGCAACAATTTTTTGCTCAAATTTTGGCCTTCTTGCAGGCCCTCGGCTTTCCTTTTCTTACTTGCTTCAATTTCTAGCTGCTGCTTGATCCCTACCATATGGGCCAAAATGGCTGCAGTTGTACATGTGTGTGTCCTTTGCATGCAGCTGAAACCCATGGAATGGAGTGCAAAGACTTTTTTCGCCTCTTGCTCAGGTCAGTTAAAAAAGCAGCTTGCTTTCTTTCAAGCAAGGCTCAAGACAGCAGCTCCAGTGGCCTTCTTTCAGGCCTGCTATTTTTCGATGAGCTTCTTGGATGCTTTCAAAGCAGCAGCTGACTGCAGCAACTTTTCCTTCACAGATTCCAGGCAGTCCATCTGCAAATCCTCCAGCTCATCCCTGCACTTGGACAAATTGGCCAGCTCATGCTTGCCCCAATCGCTAGAGCTGGCTTTCTTGCAAGCCTTTTTGAGGTCTGCTACCTCTTTGCTCACAATGCTCAACATTTTTTGACTTTCGTCTCTTTTTCGTCTTCTCCTACTTGGGTTGCTTCTTCTAGCTTTTTGCTCCATTTTTCTGCTGCTGCCTTTTGCTTGGCAAGCTTCTCAGCTTCCAGCTTCTTCTGCTTTTCTTCCTTGGCAGCTTTCAGCTGTTGCTTTTTGGATTCTTGTTCGGCCTTCTTTTCTTCTTTTGTTTTTTTCTTATCTTTGTTGGTTTCAGCTTCTGACTGGCCTTTTCTCAGGCCTCTCAAGAAAGTCAGGGCTGCATCTGCTTCTTCCTCAGTTGCAACTTCTTCTCCAGGAGAAGTATCGCTGGAAGATTCAGACAAAGCATCTTCCAATTGGAAAGATTTCTCTGGCCTTCTTTCAGACCATAGTGCCTCCCATTCCTTCTCAGTTCTTCCTGCTGCCAAGGCTTTCTTGCAAGCCAGGAGCTCTGGCCCCTTCAGGGCCATTTCTTGCTCAGCAGCCAACCTTTTCTTTTGTTCCAAACTCAGGGTCGTCTGCTGCTTGACAAGCAAGAATTCAAAGAACTTCCTGCCAACTTTCCTCACTGGCAGCAGGCCCTGTTCCACCCTGGCCAAAGCCTCGTCCTTGCCATACCAGTCTTGAACCTGTTTCCATGGAACCCATTCGAACAATTCATTTTCTTGCTTGCTCTGGGAAGCTTCTTGGCTTTGTTTCAAGCCCCCTGCACTTTTTTGACCAGTTTTGATGAAATGAAGAAGCAGCTGCTTCTTTTTTTCCATCACTCCTTTGCTCTCCATCTCAAGCCAGGCCTTCCTCGCTTCAGGGCTTTTGTTTCTCTCGCACTCAAACTTCTTCCACAAAGCTGTCTTTTCATTTTTGCAAAGTTTGTTCCAAAACTCGTCTTCTGACAATTGGCCTTCTTTCAGGCCTTGAATTGCTTTTTGTGTTTCCTCATGAAACTTCAGCCTGTGGGAGGTCAATGAAAAGCCACTCTCAGAGGCTTCCTCTGTATGGGGGGGTGTCTTGGGATTTTCCGTTTCCTTCTTCGGCTGGCCTTCTTGCAGGCCTTCCTCTTTTGTATGTTTTTCCGGTTCTTCTGCTTTGCCTTCTCCTTCAGCTTCTCCTGTCTTCTCCTTTTTCTTTTTTGGGCCTTCTTTCAGGCCTGCCTTACAACTAGGCCTTTTCATTCTAGCTAGCTTTTCACCTCTTGAGTTAGAAAATGGCTGCAGGCCAGACAATGTTATTGCGAAGTGAACAATGGGAGTTTATAATCCTGTGGAGTTCCTGTGGCGATCCTGTGGAGTTTGTAATCCTGTGGAGTTCCTGTGGAGATCCTGTGGAGTTCCTGTGGAGTTTGTAATCCTGTGGAGTTCCTGTGGAGATCCTGTGGAGTTCCTGTGGAGATTGTGTGGAGTTTGTAATCCTGTGAAGCTTTTGTGGGGGTCCTGTGGGCCACAATCAATCCTATGGTGCGCTGGTGATTTTTGGATTTTCTGTGGAAGTCGTGCCTTATTTTAGTATTTTCATATTATATATTTATATATATTAAATATATATTAGTATTTTTATATATATTAAATTCTTAACTTTTCTGGCAGGCTTTAGCCTTAGTCAGCTGCACTGGGTGGCTTTCTTTCAAGCCTCTCCCAGGTGAAACATTTGGCATGCACTGGGGGGCTTTCTTTCAAGCCTCTCCCAGGTGAAACATTTGGCATGCACTGG